ATTATATCTTATTATATATTATATTATAATTAATTTTTTTCTTTTCATATAAAATATAAATTTTGAAATATAAATATAAAATTATTATCTTTTTACCATGACTACATTCTTCTTTTTATTATTATTCTTTTCTTTCTTTTTCTTGACAAAGAACACATAACTGTTATTAAACTTTTATTTAATTCAATTAAATATAAATAATTGTATATTATATAATACTACATAATATATAAGCATCTTATGAGCTTATTTTTGAATATACATTGTCTCTACGTATTAGAAATTTGTATTTTGCATGAGACTTCTGTTTAGAGGATTTAATATGACGTTTGTTGATATTATTTACTATGCATTTTTAATGTACTTTTTGATAAGACGCAGCTGAAAATGCGTTTCTCTTTTTCTACATTCTGTCTTTCATTCTCTGATAGGAATAGGAAATTTTTATGTATGCATCGAATACAACATTTCAAATACCATGTCACTTTTGCAATAAGATAATATTGTTGTCTTACTTAAAATTTCTTGACAAAATTGATAAGGAAGAATTTGACGAGATGATTTTTATCATGAACGATCATGAAACAATGTTTTTAATTATAATTCACATAAAGTAACTAACTAGGATTTTTTACAGACGTTGTTTTGATGAAAATTAAATTCGATGTTTCACATAGAAATAGATAAAACGTTGTTTGAAATATAACAACAACTTCGTAAATTTATGTAATATTTTACGTCAATATTGAAAATTTTCTATTTTATATTTTTATCAGTAAATTGCAAATTTAATTGGGCAGATTTCACGACAGTCATTTGCATTTATAGTAAATGTTAACGTTACTCTGCGTTCAGTAGTCAAAAACTTTGACTTAGCATCTAATACTAATAAAGACAAATATTGTTTAAGGTGTAATATTTTAAACAGACAGGTGTACTTGATAACGATGATAACGATTCTAAATTCAGTTATGTCAAATAAAAAGTGACATTTTATTCAACGTTTATTTGGATTAGTGTTATATTTTTATCAACGAAATATTAGATTGTAGTGTTTCCTTATTTTATTCTAGAACATCGTATTACAAAAATATTCGGTGGGGAAGATTCGTTACCGATAAGAGATTTGCTGATAAAGTATTGTATAAAATGTACAATCATCTGAATCCTCTCTTATTTCGTCTGAAATGCGCTAAAGAATAAAGCATCTATTAGCTTTCTCATTCGTTCAGGTGGCATTAGCTGGTTTCATTTCCAATCTCTGTAAGCATCCTTTTTATTGGCATTATCAGTGGCAAGATAATAATTGTACATAATGTATACAACAACAAAAAAATTCATATTTGTTAAAAGGGTATTATTCTTAAGAGGCCTATTGTTTAAGATTATAAATATAATCCGATTGATTATTTTCAGTCGTTTAAAAAGAAGAAATATAAGAGATGAACAAATCGCGAGCTAAAAGATGGACTCAATATTTGGCAGCGATTACAGGTAAATCATTTTTGTTTGTTTTATTTATAATTAGATAATTGTTGTTACAAAAAAATAAAGTAAAGTTATTTTTGATTGAATTATTTTTACAATTACAATTAGCCACCTTATCATTGGCATCGACTGGCTCTCACATTGGTTGGACATCACCAACGTTACCAAGATTAAAATCTACGGAATCTCACGTACAAGTCACGTCAGATGATGCTTCTTGGATAGCTTCCTTCTACTTGTTAGGGTCCATACCGGGTAATATTATAGCTGCATTTATAGTGGATTGGTTAGGTAGGAAAAGTAGTTTATTGATAGCTGCTTTACCTCTGACCATTGGATGGATATTGATTATTGTTGCTTGGAATCCTTATATTTTGTATGCCTCTCGTTTCATCAGTGGAATTGGACAAGGTATTGTTTACGTCGTATGTCCAATGTATATCGGTGAAATCGCAGATAAAGAGATTAGAGGATCTTTAGGATCGTTTATAAAATTGATGGTAACATTTGGTGAGCTTTACGCTCACGTAATTGGCCCATTTGTATCTTACGAGATACTGTCGTACGCTTGCATTCTCATATCAATCACATTTTTCATATCATTCGTATGGATGCCAGAATCACCTTATTATTTAATAATGAAGAATCAACAAAAGAAAGCTATGAAAAGTCTGAAACAACTCAAAAGAAATTCGACGGAGGAAGAGTTGGAAGAGGACATGAACCAAATGCAAAAGACAGTTATAAGAGATCTCAGCGATAAAGTTCACTTTTGGAACTTTTTCAATACTCGTGGAAATAGACGAGCCGTTTTGGTCAGTTTTGGTCTTCAATTGATCCTACAATTTAGCGGTATTGCTGCTATAGAATCCTATACTCAAGAAATTCTTCAAGAAGCTGAGGATGGACTTCCTGCCGGGGTTGCTGTCATCATCTTGAGTATACTCCAATTGGTCGCTGGATTAGGTGCAGCTGTTCTTGTTGACAAAGTTGGCAGAAGGCCGTTACTTTTGATTACCACTTTACTCGCTGGTGTCTCATTAACGATTACTGCTGGTTTCTACTTTTTCAAATTTTATTTACTAATTGACATCACCGGATACGGATGGGTACTTCATGCTTCCGTTATGTTCTACGAGTTGATAATCGCTCTGGGATTGAGTCCAGTGCCCTACATGATGTTGGGCGAATTATTTCCAACCAATGTGAAAGGTAAAACTGTCTCTTTGGTGAACCTTTGGGCTTCACTTTTGGCATTCATCGTGTCGAAGCTTTATCAAGTTATATCCGATGCCGTTGGAATTTACAGCGCATTTGGATGGTTCGCTGTAAGTAGTTTTATTGGTATTATTTTTATATTGTTAATAGTACCGGAAACAAAAGGCAAATCTTTGCTGGAAATCCAGGAAGAACTCAATTGCAATAAGAATAAAATTAATGCTAAAAAAAAGAAACAACAAGAGATTTATATTAACATCATAAATTAAGTTTATTCAAAAGACAAGAAAAAAACAAGTCCGATGGTAACGCACATATAAATTAAGATTTGGCACAAATATTTATGTAATTCGATTAATTAATAATTCATTACGTTTGATCGATTGTAAAATTGATAAGATAAGTATCACGAGTAAGATAACAGAATTAACACTTAAAACTTGAATTATCTGATTAGGCCATCGCTTAAAAAGCACACGTGGAAATTTTTCACTTTACTAGTTTTGTTTTTGTTTTTGTTTTTGTTGTTGTTGTTTTTTTTTTATTATTATTATTAGAGGAAAAGCACAATTTCAAAGAAAATTCCTATTTGAATTGTTAGTATTTTAAGAATATATATATTAGATTTATAATTAATTGTTAAGTTAAGGGCCCTTATATTCCATTGGAAAGAACGGCTTCGATAGAAGTTACGAGATTGTCAAGATAACAATTTATAAAAAGTTTGCTAACAAAAGTCAAGAACTCGAGAAATTTGTTATCAAATCGAACACGAATTTCTATTTATAAATACAAGTTTAGAAATCATAATAATAATAAAAAAAAAAAACTTGTTTTATAATATTTCGTTAATCTGGGCAATCTCGGTCCGTGTATAATGTGAATTCGTTAATATTCTCTCAACTTTCTCAACAACATTCGAAATTAATCTAAGACAATTAATTGTTTATCGATTTATTTGTTTAGTTTTCGAAGAAAGTAGAGAATATTTCAATAGTGCGTTTAGCTGGGCCCCACATCATTAAATAGAGCAATTGCGCATGACCATCTTTTTGTCCCTTTTAGGCAGGGTTTAATAAGTGAGTGAGACTGATAGATTAATATTAATCGTAAATTATATTTATTTATCGTCTTGTGTTCTCCTCTAATCAAAAATAAAAGTTCAATTTATTCACACATTTACATTTGCATGAAAAAAAAAAAAAAATAAACAAAAATTCGAGAAACGACAAATAGAAAACGAAAAAGAGAGAAAGAGAGAGATAGAGAGAGAACATTAGACGATTAATAAAAACATCTTCTTATCCCTTTGAGGCAGGGTGCAATATGAACTACCAAAGATTATATAACGATTATTATTAAACGTTATTAAAGAAAAATATATTTCGCACGCACGAAATCGATTAAGAAAAAAAAAAAAAAAGAAATAAATGCGCGTGCCAAAATGGCCCTGATGCAAGAAGGATTTAGGCGAGCACTGAAGCATGACTAACTTATTTAATCCCTTTTAGGCAGGGTGAAAGATACATTTAAAGGATGTAATTAATTAATTATTATTATTGTTGTT